TACATCACATTGCCTCTCTCCCCTCACTTAGCTTTTCCTGATCCTGTATTCAGTCATGTTTTTCCCTAATTCGTCCAACTTAGTGCCCGTTTTTGCCATCAGCCCTGCTGTTACCTGAAACCTCCTACACACAAATATAGCTTCCTATCCTTACTCTTAACCACGTAATGTTCATGTTGACAAATTTATAGTCGATTACAGGGGTATCTCAAAGTCTAAGAAAAATTACATTTCATTCCAAAAATACACTGTATGCATAAAATTAGCACATAAGAAGCATATATGTTCCTTATTCTTCATAAGCCAATATATTTTCAAGGTATGGTTATATAGGAACTGAGTACAATTGATGTTTGCCAGTTCACAATTTATACACAGGAAACCACATAGATCTTGGGCCCTGAAAACTGATGGAAAGCTGCATTTTCATGACCTGAATAATTCAAAGTTAAATGAGGATGGCAGGGAAAAGGTTCTAAAAATTTCATAGTAATTTCTCAGCATTGAACCCAGACATCTATTAATTCAAATATTACCATACAAAGACAGTACAGAAGATATTGATCATACAATTATACTGATTCCATCACATCTTCCTAATAAGCATCTACCAGAAACTCAACCTTCCTAAATGATAGTTATAGAAAGGAAATTCTTATACTCAATAGTCTCGCAAGTATTTAAGGAGACTGGCATGGCAGTAGGATGGAAAGCTGCACAATGTATGTAAAAGCAACACCGAACTATGTACCATTTCTGCAGATTACCAAAACTGGATTAAGAGCTAAATGGTAACTTCAGCTCCAACAAGTGAATACAATTCTCTAAGTTCCTGGTGTTTGCAGCACGTCTGGCCTAATTCCAGTGTCTCACAACCTGTTATCTAAATATGTATGTGTATAAATTTTGAAATCTAATTTCACCACTAAATTGTACCTGTTAAGCATGTAAAAAAAAATAAGTTGAGTGCCAGTAAGTACCCAGCAAAGGACAGTTTGAAACATCCAGTTTTCCTCAGAAAAGGATACTTGCACAAAGGAACAGCATACTGATGCCTCAAAACCAAACGCACCTTGGAAAACCGAGCGTGTGAGCTGACCTATCACATTTGTGAAAAAGGCAAACCAACAAAA